CAATATATTTCTATAATTATACTATAAGTTTAAGTTTATATATTTTGTGAAAGTTATGCATTAACATTCATAACACAACAAAGAAAAATAAATCCAAATTAGCGTACTACGGTGTTGCAGGTAACATGAATATCACCTGATATTGATAAATGCTGGTGTTTTATGGGTGGCTCATAAAAAAGTACTGGTATTTATGGGTGACAGCAGTGTTAAAATTTTGTGAATAAAACTTGTAACATAACATAATTTTTAACATCTTTTAAATTTTATTTGTAACTTGGTTTTAATTTTAATGTTACAATATGTTACTTTAATGTTCAAGATGTTAACTCATTTTCCTTAATGCTTAAGAGTTATTGCTTTGCTATTTTATTCATCTTTTAGGTCTATATAAGAAGACTTGTCTTCTTTTGTAGTAAACAAATACGAAAAAAAAAAGAAGAGAAACTCTTAAGTCTTTCCCCCATTTTTCATGTTATAGTATTTTGGTCTAGTCATAATTATAGTTCGTCAGATTTTATTCGGTTTTGCAGTTGTATCATGGAAAACAGAAGCTCATACGGAGCGAATCTGTTTCAAGGACATTGTGTTATCACAGGCCTCGGTATATATTAAATAGCCATCTTATTTTTATTTTCTCGATAAAGTTCTCTATAATCTTAAAATAGATTCTATTAAAAGATGGATACTGTGCAGAATGTTATTGGTATTGCTGCTAATATTGATGCTACTGTTGTTGCTGCAATTTCTCTTTCTTCTTCTATTAATGTTTCGATAAATCATGTTGGTAAACTGAAAAAATTTAACGACGTGAATTTCAAGCGTTGACAGCAAAAGGTACTGTTTAATCTCACTACGTTGAACCTTGCGATGTTTTTGACAGAAAATCCTCTAAAGTTTGGGGAAAATCCAGACATTCAAGCTGTCAATGCGTTTGACGCATGGAATCACTCGGATTTCTTATGCAAAATTATGTGATGAACTGTTTGGCTGATGCACTGTATAACACGTGTACAGTTCAATCAAAACTGTGAAGGAGCTGTGGGAGTCCTTGGATAAAAAATACAAAACCGAAGATGTTGGGGCTAAGAAAATTCTTGTTGGCCGGTTTGTAGAATACAAGATGGTGACTCGAAGACCGTAATCATTCAAGTGCAAGAGCTTCAAATAATCTTTCATGATATCCATCCCGAGAGAATGATGGTGAATGAATAGGTGGCCATAATAATTGCAAAGCTTCCACCGAGCTCGTTGGTTAATCCTTCTTTGACCAAGACTCGAATTTGTCGCATAAGAAAAGTTGCAGAGCTCGTTGTTAGACTTTGAACTGAAGAAGACAATAAGGGCAACGATAATAAATTGGTTAATTCTTCTTTGACCAAGGCCAATGTTGTTAAACATGGTGAAAGCTCATGTAAAAATAATAAGGCTGACAATACTGACAAGGCGGGATTGGGGCCAAAAAATTAAAATTTTTGAAACAAATTTATGAAAATTGTTTTAACTGTTATAAATATGGCCATAAGGCATCTGATTGCAGGTCGCCAAAAAGAAATCAAAAAGCTCAAATCTGGCTAACGATGCTGATGAGATGCACCTCACCACAGTTATATCTGAGGTGAATCTGGTGGGCTCAAATCCACATGAATGGTGGATTGACACGGGTGTTCCCCATCATGTTTGGTCAAACAATGATTTGTTTATTGTCCTTGACGGGACGATGGACAGAGAGAAACTCTACACAGGAAATTCTGACACGTCTGACATCAAAGTAGTGGGAAAAGTTCTACTGAATATGACATTTGTGAAACAATTGACTCTTAACAATATTCTTTACGTACCAGAAATTTGCAAGAACATAGTGTCTGGTTCTTTGTTGATCAAACATGGTTTTCGTTTGGATCTGATAAGATTACTTTTACCAAAATGGAGCATTTGCTCAAAAGAGCGCTGGATACAAGGTTCTTATAGGTGTCTGAGACATCCAACACTTCTGTTAATGTCAAGTCTTTGGTCGATGTCATTTTCAGCACCAGCTTGACTTTCTCCTGATTTTTTATGTCGAAGAGTTGCCCATGAATAACTTTCTTCCATCAGTAGGGTAGAGGACGAGAACATATCTCTATCCACGCAAATATGTCGAGTTGTAGTTAGATGGAGCTCAGATAAGTCAATGGGAACATATTTATCTTCGGCTATATGCAAGATATATTTTACCCTATTTGAGCGACGATAATCTTTTGCAAGATGTCTGAATTTACCACAATGGTTGCAATTCTCTTTATACTTCTTGGTTCTGAATTGTGGTTGCTTGTTACTTAAAGTTTTCTTATTGGATATTGATTCGACGAAGGTTTTCTAAGCCCTAGGTTGGCCCTCACTTCAGATTTTTTATTATCTTCCTTATTATGGAGCTGAACTATCAAGTCCAACAATGTCGTCTCCTTGCGTTTATACATGAGATAGTTTTGATGTCCTTCCAAAGTAGAGTAATTTTCAACAATCTATGTGCCTTGAATGTCTCATTCACAATCAGTCCTTCGCCGATAAATCATGAAAGATGATATAAATGTTTTGGACTTGACTAAACACCGACTTGGTGTTTACCCTATATATTTTAACAATTTGCAGATGGAAACTTTCTTAATCACGGTGTCTTCCGCTTGTACTTCAATTCCAAAGTTCCATAACTCTTTAGTTGTCTTAATCAGCCTATAGACATTGTAGAGAGAGTCTTCTAGTCCGTTAAGGATATAGTTTCTACACAAAAAATCATTGTGATGCCATAGATCTGAGGTCATACGCTTTTGGACATTAAGCTCAGTTTCTAAAACGATCAAAGGGTCCTTTGAAAGAAAACGAGAAAGAGAGAGAGAGAATTGTGAAATAGAAAGAGCATCTTTCGTTGCCACCTATTGAAATCAAAGCCATTGAACTTTGGCGATCTCTCACCTTGGACCAGGGCGGCTACCATTGGAGTGAATAGATCATCGGTGTAGCAGTGAGTTGAGCACTTGAAGAAGACATTTGATTTTTTGCGATTGGCATCTTATGAACTCACAAAAATTTCAAATTAAGATTGTCGTTTGTGTGGCATGTCAATACAAATAAGATAGCTCAAGAAAAATAAATAAACTGATAACAAATTCAAGGTTGAGGCATAATAATTACGTTTTTCTTAAGACAAAATTTCCCCATATTATACACATGGCTAACAGTAAAAGCCTCCAAGCTACAACAAGGCTCAATGAAAAATTAAAAAATGCAACATGCTATATGAAGTTTGAAAAAGGACCTTAAATTGAAAATCACTTAGAATCATTCAAGTATTAGTGTTTTAATAGATGTGAGAAAACAACTCCAATAGGTTTAAGGGTCAAAAGACACCTTACGATGAGTCTGGACGAAAACTGGATCAGCCGATTGAGCTCGAAGTTCTTGGTAACCAACAAGTGCGATCATGCTCGCGCCCGTGATGGGCCTCATGACTTGGTTGTGATCTATAAATATGGGACATCACGCCGTGACCAGATCAGTTTTCTGCACGACTTTAGATTTTTTCATGACATGTACTTGTCCGTCTTAGACTCCATACAACTTTTGAGCTACTAAAACTCATTTTTCCCATATATAAGATTTAGAACTATTTTTTTATTTACCCTAAATAGTTTTGAAATATTTCTAAGTCTTCTATTCATAACAAGTGAAACCATAAAATCGGTACAAAACAAAAATTTCCTTACATAAAATCGTGAACGAATACTTGAAGCTTTATATTATAGGTTTAATCTTATAAACCTACTTGTTTTTAGACAAATTGATCATTGTATAAAAATAAATTCTTTACTGATTGCAAATTGGAAAAGTAAGTTGATGAAACCCCAAAAAAGCTAATTTTTGTGTGTTGCAAGTTCGTTAGTATGAGTTGTTGTTCTCTTGTATAAATTCAATCCCCGAAAAATGGATGTATGATTAGAAATTTTCAAAAATTATGGACTTGTTCTGGGGATTTTGTGTAATGCCCTGAGATCGCCATCCAAACTTGACTATAGTCACCTTTTTCAGCGTGGTTTTAATACTGACGTACTTCAACACTTCCTGAGAAACTTTCTAGAATGTCACTCATCCCATAATTACCCCTAGCTAAGCTCTCTTAACTTTGGAGTTCTTATGAATTAGGTGCTATAGAAATGTCCGAGGAGGTCACACATCGCATAATTACCTCAGCGGAACACTCTTAACTTTGGAGTTCTTATGAGCTGAGTGCTAGAAAAGAAGATGCACTTGTTGATATGATTTTTATACATCAAGTCCTTTAAACTGTCCTAAATTGTCTCCCAAGATGCCTTGAAGTTCCACATTTCGTGAGTTTCGTTGCAGAGCTATTGGTCAATAATATACATTGGTCAAGCTTTAGTCTCGAATTGTAAATTTTATTATATATAATATTGTGCAACATTGCAGATCTTTTAGACCCATCAGTATCCATTGGTGAAGCTTACAAGTTATACGATATATATGTGTGAACTTTTAGCAGCTTAATATAGATGGTTTAAAAGTACGTTTTATGAAGGATGAATGTGTTCTCCAATTATCACCTCACAGGTTTGATTGTTCTCCAACTATCTAAACTTAATTGCACTGCATGGGTTAACACTAAGACGCGCCAAAGTGCATACAACACTACATCTCGACTCGCAAAAGAATTTGCAAAAGACTAAATCACAACGCACCTAAGTGCACAATACGCTACATCTCGAGTTGCAAATGACAAAATCACTGCACAAATAGCCTAATGTAACTGAAAAGCACGTCAAAAAACGAAAAGAAAAAAAAAAGTGCAACATGTATAGAAGTCCAAATCCATTTAAAAGAAACCAGAAATTAAATTTAGCTGTTACAAAAACAGAACAGAAACACACCGTCTTGAATCACTCTGCAAAAGTGAAATAACCATAGAAACTACAAAACATCCCAAGTTTATCTGTAAGATAACACAATCAGGCCTTGACCCGACCATAAAACTTCTGCTTCTCCTCGGTTGTCTGGAAACGACCATGTCCAAACTTGGATGAGGTGTCGATGAACTTGAGCTTAATCTCCTCAAGGGCAACACGTGAAGTCTGGTTCAGGAGAGTTTGCCTAAGGGTCACCACCCTTTTCTTAGGTCCCACACAGCAGCCCTTTATCATAATGTAATCATCCTTCACAACACCATAGTGAGGAAATCCACCCATAGGAGTAATATCTTTCTCGGTCCTGCATATGTTCAGTATCGGTATAGGATTAATTGTTAAGAATTCAGAAAAATCTTATACAGCATTCAATAGTTTAGTTGTCAAGAATTCAGAAAAAATCTTATATTGAGTAATATTATTTTGAAGGCACAGCAAACAAAACAGGATAATGCACAAGAGTTTCAGAATTTTCATTTCAAGGAAAATAAAATATTTAAAATTTACAAAGACCCTACTCAGGTGGAAACTTCAATTTTGTATCAGAACAAAGAGATATATTTGGGATCCCAAAACATAAATTTGCCTTTTGTTCTTAAGCTAAACCCATCCCAAAGAAAATAATTTCTAAAATGTCTCTGGGCCCGCCACTTTT